GGATCCGACGCTTGTTACCTTTAAAGACTGTGCATCTTCCAGACGGTTATGCGTCATGGTCTAGAGCATCCAAGAGGAAATTATGGATCGCCGAGTGACCAAGTCTGTGAAGGTTTGGAAGTCACCTGAAGACTTACCATGAGTGATTGGGCGAGGTCTGTGTGACCTTAGCTCAAGGGAAATATGGTGAGGACTAAGTGTCCTGAGCTGCGTGTTCAAGACTGGGTGCCCGGGACTGTGTGTCCTCAGGTTTAAATACCTAGCCGCCCTAACCAAACGTACAACTGTCACGGCAGTTGGAACTGGTCTACCAAATCATTGTCTTCACCGAGCTAACTGGTTCCGTTTCCTCAACCCTTCCATTTCCTGATTTCTGTGTTGTGTGCTTATTCATATCTGTTTGAAGACTTTGACTGAAGACTTTCTCTATTTCCTCAGCTCAAATTTCTTCAGTCTGTTTGTCTTCATTCTGTTTATCATGTGTTTATGCTTTTTGTACTTTGTGCTTGTTTTCTTTTCATCATGAAGACCATGCTCATACTATGTTATGTTTACTCCTGAGTACTTATTCCGCAGCAAGTAGTTCTTCTCTTAGGAATTTCCTCACCCTGAAATTCCTCAGTGAAGAATCCATAAAAATCGCCTATTCACCCCCCTCTAGTCGACTTAACACACTTTCAACTATATAGTTAACTATTTTAGATAGATAGCCTTCTCCACTGAACCCAGAACCTACTGCCAATCCAGGGTTGTGGGCATAGTTTCATACACGCATAATTTCTGAGTAGCACAAAAGTCAGGTGAGAATTCAGATTAGAAGAAATTGATAAGCTGTTGAATATAAGCAGAAGTCTAAATGTTGTTGTTAGGTTTTTTTCAACATAAAGACACAGAATATTCATACAATGGATAAAAATGACTGGCCAAAGGCAGATCAAAAAGCATATGCACATAGGAACCAAATCCAACATAATCAGTACGATGATTCACAGTAACATAAACCATCACTTTTCTCGATCCTCATAAACCGAGAAACATTCCTTAGATACACTTATCTAATATACCTAAGACGCTAAAACATGTTGATGGCCAGCACATGTCTGATCTTCTTTCTAGCAAAGCATCGCAAGCCATACAAATATTCATGCTTTATCGCAAAAGGTTTTACAAACCATGTCTATACACATACTTGAGCATTTGAAAAATGGATATAATAGAGTGGGAAAGGGTATAGTAGCAACGACATTTGTACTCACCTTTGTGTAGACAAAACAAACTAAATAAAGCCACCCTTTAGTTGTCTTTTGAGCTGGAAATCTCATATGCTTAACTCTGTTAGCAACCTGATGCAGATAAAAGAGAAGGTTGATGTACGTGAATAAAAAAAGAAATGTAAAAATAAGGCAGGTATTTCTTTTGCTGTAAGAGCATTGTATTATAGAGTAATTGCTGGCAAATACAATAACAAATAAGGGAGAAAATGTTGCCTCTAGTTCCAGCATATATATTCCAAGAAAATGACAGCAACTTGCTCTATGACCCAAGTTTACTTGCTTTCTAGTAATTGACGCCCAAACGCAACCGGTGATTAAATGCAAAATAGTTTGAAACCCTTAAACCAGTGTGGATTGCTTACAATTTACCACTCTACAGTGTTTTAGTAGCATTTTTGCAGATTGATTAGAGCCTAGCAGACCTTTTATATTCGCCCGGCCCTTATATTTCTGGCAACTATACGGGTTTGGGCCCTTTTTTGTCCAGAATAGACCCCGTATAGTCGCTGCGGCTTGTAAAATATTTATAGTGGCCCGTAAAATAGCCCCCTGACAGTATATCTACTGTCCCACAGGCGCTATACAGGTCACAACCCTTTTCCCCACCGCCACAATCCACCCCTATCCGCTCACATTTCTCGCCACCGGCCACCCCTACCCACGACTCCGATGACAGATCCGCCACCGCTCCGCCGCATGTCGCGCGGGATGTGGAGTGTCGGCCGCTCTGCCGGCGGTGAGGACAAGGAGGAGCGCGAGCGCTGCAGCACCGGCGACGCGGCGCGGAAGCGCTATGCCAACCGATACACCAACCGCGGCCTTGAGCCGCCGGCGTCCCTCGTCCGCCGCGAGATAGAGGAGTACGACCGGCGGCATGCTCGGCTCTCCAGCGCGGGCAGCTCCTTCGACGCGAGCAGCTCGCGTACGCCGTTGTCGTCGGTCAAGAGGGAGGCGGAGGAGCTCCCGCCGCTTTGCGCGGTCAAGAGGGAGGCGGTGGAGCACCCACCGCTCCGCGCGGTGAAGAGGGAGACAGAGGTGGAGCGACCGTGGGCCGGCATCGTCAGGTCGGAGGACTACCTCCCCCCTCCGAGACGAACACCATCGAGGCGGCGATTCTCAAGCGTAGTGCGCGGAAGGAGGAGGAGGTGGCGTAGATGTTGGTGTTGCCTCAAGTGCCTCCCTAGATGGGCTGGCGGAGCACTCACTTGCTCACTAGCGCTGCTAGTCACTCGCTTGCGGTTAGAGCATCTCTAGCAGACCCCGCATAAGTGGTCAAACCCGTAAAATAACCGCTTTTTACAGTTTCAGTCGAAAAAATGGCCCGAACAGTTCCCTTAAAATCGTCCGACCCTTAATTTTTTTAAGGGGCTCTGTAAATGCGAAGCCGAAACCCTTATATCTGCAGTTTTAAAGGCAATTTTATCAGGGCTCTGCATACCGATCAACCTTGGCGGTTGAGGAATCGCTGCTTCCGCCAACACCATGAAGCTCACCCGGCCGCTGCGCCTGTCCACCGCAGTCCGCTCGTCCGCCCGGCCGCCGCGCCCGTCCACTGCCCGTCCGCTCGGCCGCCTGTCCGCCCGGCCGTCGTCTGTCTGCCGCCCGCCCGCCGCACCCATCCGCGCTAGCTAGCTGTAAATTGATGCGAGCAAGCTAGCTAGCTAGCCAGCCCAGGCTGCGTCTCTCGCTGGCGACGGAGGAGCTAGCTAGCTGGTCCCTTATGGATTCGAGCTGAGCTAGCTAGCTAGCTCGCTCCTGGATGGATTCGAGCTGAGCTAGCTAGCTAGCTCTCGATCGATTCGAGCCCTGACGGAGGTGATTGGCCGCTTCGTATTTGGTCGTCTGTGGCTTTGTTTTTTATCACTTCACGTGCTATCTATCGGTTTCGTGGGAGCAAAGCTAACTGGCCATGGACATGGACGAGAGGAAGAAGAAGACATGGGGAAAGCATATACGTGAATATTTCGTTTTACAGTTTAAGTTTGAGGGGTCTGTTCTGCCGCAGCTAAAACCAACCCGTAAAAGAGCATATTCCGCGAATATCCTTTTATATGGGTCTATTTTGCGGGGTTTGCCTCTGTGGCCGTCCGTGCCGACCTGCAAAATCGTTTTTCCGTGAAGTGCAAACGCGTTTTGCGGGTCGGCGGAATGCGAGATCTACTAGATATGCTCTTAGGTAGGTCTGTTTCATTAGCCTAAAAAAAGGTAGGTCTCTCTCATATTTTTTCCTTTGATTTTTATTTTATTTATTTCATTTTGTTTATATTTTGATAACTTGTAAATTTATTTATATTTCCACATCTATTATACTCAATTTTTTAAGAAAATTCACAACACATTAAAATGTTCATGTAATGTGAAACAATTGTGTAATTCGTAAAAAATATTCATAGCAGAAACAATGTTCACCACATTGAAAAAAAGTTCATCCGTTTAGAAATATGTGCATGACATTTTTTAAACATGTTCATACAATGAATTATTCTCGTAGTTTCTAAAAAATGTTCAGTGTGTGTTTAGAAGAATCCACAGTCCATTTTCAAATATTCAATTCCCATTTTACAAAAATGTTCAACCTGTATTTTGAGAAAAAATGGTCAACATATATTTGAAAAATGTTCAGAGTGTATCTAAAGAATGTTCAACACATATACAAAAGTTTAACATGTAAAAAAGTGTCAACATGTATTTTTTAAAATAAAAATGAAATAAAGTAATAGAAAAATCGGGAAAACCAAAAATGCTACTGAAAATTGATATAGAAAAACACAAAAAAGTAAAAGGAAAAAATTGCGTGAAACCTTCACGCAACTGGCCAAAACCGGGTGGAAGCTTAAAAAAACCACTCATATCACACTTATTGGGCCGGTCCACATCGTCGATCATGTAGGTGAGACCAATGGATCTCTCGATGTAAGCAAGATATAAATTTTGCGGGAGAAAGAAAACCTCAGACCCCTTCTTGAGTGTGATAAAAGTCGACCTACTGTACGAGCAACCGTTCTAATTGAATAAAAGTCGACCGCCTTATAAGATAAAAACTAAGATACATACACTTGAATTGAGTTAAGACTCCTCCTTAGAGCATGAGAAGATGACTAATACACTCGTTCTCCTCCTCCACCATCCTCACTCATGCGTCATATGTTAGTAGGCCTCCGGAACCCCGTCCCTAACTTACGATTCGTCCTTTTATTGGATATTGTGTTTGTATTCCAGCAAATCCATAAATATGTTAGTTCTCTGTTTTATATGCATTCACATGTGCTTAGTTTTGTTAGAACTATAGTCATGCTATTAATATGGATTAAATTATTTTGAAAAATGACATTGCCTGTTATTCCAACAATCCGAAAACCCTGGTCAAATAAGAAGGAGGTATCATTTAGAACAAAGTTAGAATTTCATTTTATTTGCAGTTGAGACTTGAGTATACTATTTATATATAAGACTTGTAGTACTTGTCATAAGAGCAAGTGCCTCTTCAGAGTTATATTATAGATCGATTTGGATAAGTCAGGGGCAAGACTTAGGACAGCTACTATACAGTACTGCTAGGTTACTGTCATTTGTGTATAAACCCTCCAAAGTGCAGCACTATAAAAGCTAGTAAAATCATACGAGGCCAATTCACTTCTCCATCTCCTGAACAGTTCATGTCATATGTCATATGGTTTGTAGGGTCAAACACTACATAACATAATACTACTAGCATTCCATCGGCGATCACGGGCGCGCCTTGCTGTCAGGCACCGGCGGCAGCTCCACCGACGACGGCGACGGCGCCTGCTGCCTCTGCCGCGCGCGCCAGCCGCGGCTGAACACCTCCTCGATCTCCTCCAGCGCCCTGCCCTGCGTCTCCGGGCAGAAGAAGTAGAAGAAGGCGGCGGCCACCACCGCCAGGCCCGCGAAGAGGAAGAAGGCGCCGCCGATGGTGATCGCCTTGTACAGCGTGACGAAGGTCATGGAGACGCCGGCGTTCATTATGCGGTTGATGGCCACGCCGACGCTGGCGCCCTGCGCGCGCAGCCGCAGCGGGTACACCTCCGAGCTGTAGGCCCAGGTGATGGGCCCCACGCCGACGGAGAAGGCCGCCACGAAGGTGAACACCGCGGCGATGGCCAGCGCCACCGCCCACGGCGCGCCGTGGTGCGGCGCCGACCGCTCGATCACGGTGAGGCCCAGCCCGAGGCAGGCCATCGACGCGATGATGCCGGCGAGGCTGGACAGATAGAGCGGCCGCCGGCCGACGCGGTCCACGAGCAGGATCGCCACCATGATGAACACCGTCTTGGTCACGCCCACGCCGATGGTGGCCGCGAGGATCTGGTTGCGGGTGGCGATGCCGGCCGCCTTGAAGATCCGCGGGCTGTACAGCACCACCGCCTCGATGCCCGTCAGATGCTGGAAGAAGTGCACGCCTAGGGCGGCCACGAGGATGCGACGGACGGCCGGCGTCGGGTGCAGGAACATCTCCTTCATCACGCCCTTGCCGCCGCCGCTGGGAGGCGCGGGCGCGGCCTCGCCCTCGACGAACCCGGCGGCGCTCTTGATGTCCGCGAGCCGCACGTCGGCCTCCTCCGCCGTGTTGCAGACTTTCCGGAGAACAACGAGCGCCTCCTCGGCCCGGCCCTGCATGACGAGCCAGCGGGGAGACTCCGGCATGGCCAGTACACCAACGGCGAGCACGGCACTCGGGAGCGCGCCGAGCCCCAGCATGGTGCGCCAGCCGTAGACCAGCGGGAGCTTGGCGAGGAAGTAATTGGCCACGTAGCCTATGAGGATGCCGAAGCTGATGCAGATCTCGGGGAGCGAGGTGAGCGAGCCGCGGATCTCCGCCGACGCGATCTCCACGGCGTACACGGGCGCGATCATGAGTGCGTAGCCGACGCCGACGCCGGCGACGCAGCGGCCGACCAGGAGCGTGGCGAAGTTGGGCGCGAGGCCCATGAGGACGGAGCCCGCGAGGAAGATGCAGGCGGCGAGCGAGATGGTGAGGCGCCGGCCGACCCAGTCGGAGACGCGGCCGGCGGTGAGGGATCCCACGAGCGCGCAGACGTTGAGGATGCCGGCCAGCACCTGCAGCTGCGTGTCGTTGGTCTTGAGGTCCTCCTTGATGAACAGCATCGCGCCGCTCATCACGCCGCTGTCTGCGTCCACAATCACAACACCACACATCCATTAACACGCTCCATCGTTCACTCACATGCAGAGTAGAGGATGGACCGATGGAGAAGATGTTCCGTTGTGCTCACGTACCGTAGCCCATGAGGATGGAGATGATGGAGCCGATGATGGAGCAGGCCACCGCGTACTTGTTGGTCCTGCCCTTCCTCCCGCCCCCGTCGCCGCCATTGCTTCTCTGCCCCTCCTCCTCCCCCATGGCTTCCCTCCCCACCTTGGTCTCCTCCTCCTCCTCGCCCTCTGTCAGTCAGAGTCAGAGACAAACACGAACTACTATCTCGTTAGTTCAATAATCAATCAGGAGCTTGTGGCGTATGCGTATCGGCACGCATAAGCGCGCCTCTTATAGGCAGCGCCTTCCGCGTGACCGCCAGTGGGCAGGTCACACCGATCGCAGTTTCAGAGCGCATGCGCACGCCACTGTAGCTATGTCGCAAGAAAAGAGTGAACAAGATGGCCACAGCGATGCGTATCGGCTTGACGACGTTTGATGTCCCCTTCTTCTTCCATGGAGTGGTGCGCATGTGTTTGCGAGGCTGCAGTGGTGATGGTAGCGGTAGCACACCACCGCCACTGTTGACAGTGAGATGCAACACTTGCAGATGGAAGTGATAGTGCCACATGGAGATGTCAAAATTGTGCACGGTTGACAACTCTCCGTGGGAACTACGTAGTTCAAGAAAGATTGCAAGAAAGATCACGCCTTGGCTTCTCCGGACAGCGAGCATTAGCGTGGATGGATACGATCGAGAATCTACTACATCACCGAGAGGGGCCATGAATTAATTCACAGCATTTGTGCAGGAAGATTTGGGGAGAAATACTAGTGCGTCTTGGGCTCTTGGCTAGGTGCCATGCATACAGCTGCCAACGAGTGCAACAGCTCAGTCGATCGTGAGGTATATCTTGGACGCTTTCCTTGGACGATAGCACAGTGGCTATCCGCAGCACCGAGGTCAAGGTCAAAGTAGGGCACAGTACTCCTACTTGTTTTCGTCTTTGCTCCTTTTTTTTATTTGCATGTGGTATTCAGATGAGAGTGACAAATCGACTGTTCTGTAATACATGTTGGCAACATGTGATTGAAGATGCATGTCTCGACAGGATCAGTAGTTAGCAGTGCGTGCATAGTTTTTTATTCTGAACATGGGTGTTGGAAGATGGGCCTTATAAGATTTTAAATCTTCTAGGTTTTGTCTTGTGCGTCCCTGGCGCGACAACGGACAACCAGCGTATTTGACTATGGTGATTATTGAAGAGCGAGGCAGGAAGCAACAGCTACGTCAAACATTTTGAAAGATTACGCAACTGCGTAGACTCGTTGTACACTTCTGTTTTGGGGTGACTCGTAGTATTATTTTTATTTTTTTTCGAAACTGACAGATTGAATCATCTGTATTAAATAGTTTTTTTTTTGTGAATGATCAGTAGTTGAAATCCAGCATTGCTGTACATTATCATCTACTACATTAAACAGTATTTTTTATGAATGATCTGTATTAAATAGTTGAAATCCAGCATTGCTGTACAGTATCATCTATATTAAATAGTTTTTTTTCGAATATCTATATTAAATAGTTGAAATCCAGCATGGATGTACAGTATCATCTACTACATTAAACAGTATTTTTGTGACTGATCTATATTAAGTAGTTGAAATCCAGCATTGCTGTACAGTATCATCTATATTAAAAAGTTTTTTTTTTCAAATATCTATATTAAATAGTTGAAATCCAGCATGGCTGTACAGTATCATCTATATTAAAAGGTAATTCTAAGCTATCAATTAAATATAGTAGAACCATAGTGATATTAAGTACATGTCAAACTGTGCCAAAAAATCTTTGGGGAAAGAGTTGAGGTAAACTCAACTAAATCTTTCTTCGAAAGCAAACTTTTGCTCTACAACATCAATCACTGGAATATAACTTCCTACCACTTACACGGACACAGAGGAAGCTCCTCCATCTGGAGCCATTGGTATTAACTCTTTAAGAAGAAAGATAATGATTTAAAAAAAAAGCTTACACACAAATTTGCACTATATTTGCTTCTTTTATAGTATGAAAAAATTCATATAATAGTGTAATTTTCACACATGTTTCATAGTATTTGTGTGTATACACATTTACACTCACACAACATCCCAAAATTACCTGCAAAGGAAAATAAAATAAAAACCAAATAATAATATAGAAAAATAAAAAATAAAAGGACAAACGCATAAAACAGATAAACACAATAAAAAACTATAGAGGGAGAGGAGGGAGGCCTGGGTGGTATAATTAATGGGCTTCAGTCCAGTAGCAAATCCACTAACCCAAATACGTGGTCAATAAAAAAGAAACAGCCCAAACCAACTCACAAAATAGCCAAGTAAAAAAAGAGTAAGAACCTAAAAAGAGGAATCAATTGTAAAAAAAAATCGATTGACCCAAAATCATTTTTCAAGCGACTTCCATATGGGAAACGTTTATTTTTGACCGACTGATTTCTCGGCTGGTAAGTTGTCTTGAACACTCGACGCGTTTCCTCCCGGGCCACCACCCGCTTAGCCCATCCAACCTTATCCCCCGCCGAACCCGTCCATGTTTTTCTCCTCGTCTTCGTCTTCCCTTGCCGCACATCAATTGGCAATCTTCCCTCTCAAATTTTGCTATTGCCCCCACCTTCTTCTCATCGTTCGCTGGAAGCCGGCTTCTCGGAGACGACACGGGCTAGGTGGGACAACACTGCTACCATTGCCGGCAGTGGAGCTACGTTGCAGCAGGCGATGCTACGATGACGCTACTGCCACACCGACGACGAAGCTCTGTTACAGTAGGAGAGGCTACGAGCTGCTTCCATGGCCGGCGGCAAAGCTGTGTTGCAACAGGCGATGCTACGACAATGCTGCTCCACACCGACGACGAAGCTGTGTTGCAGCAGGCGAGAGCTATGAGTTGTTGCCATGGATGGCAGCAGAGTTGCATTGCAGTAGATGATGCTACGGCGACATTGTTGCATGTCAACGACGGAGCTACGTTGCAACAGGAGAGAGCTACGAGCTGCTGCCATGCATGGCTGGCGGAAGAGCTGTGTTGCAGCTAGCAATGGTACCAGTTGTTGCCATGCTAACGGTGGAGCTACATGGAACAGGTGGTCCATTGCAAATGAGCTGCCATGACTCGACGACGAAGCTGCATTGTGGGAGGGGGCTACAGCCTGGCTGCCATAGTCGGTGACGATGTTGCGGGGGAAGGCACCGAGGGTGCTGCAAGGGCGGCCATTTGCAGCGGTGGCGCTCCGGCGAGCGCAAGAAGCATTGTTGCAAGGCGGATCACGGCGCTGCAGGCCTACAACCTTCATGGCCTCTCGCCCGGAGCTTGTTGGGGGTTCCTCGTGTGCATGGAAAAGGAGGGTGAGTGTGGGGGTGAGACGAGGAGGGTAACAACGCAGAGTTGCGTTGCGTGAGAACGACACATCTCTAAGTTGACCAATCAAACGGTTGTGAGGGACTGAATCGGACAACTGAAATCAGCCGGCTGACACCTGGCAGCCGCCCTTACATATAGAAAGTTATCAGGACATAATTCATGAGTGTAATTAACTGTAAAATAAACAGTTTATCATTGTGTCAGTCTCAGCGATATGACACGGCTGCTCATCTCAATCTCACCGATATAATCCTTCGACGCACAGAGGCACGCACGCAGTGACGCAGACCACTTACAACCTTATAGGAATGCTAGTTCGTTTCAGGCAGCCGGGTCGCCGTGAATGGAAGAGGTGCTCTCAATGAACGCCTTCATTTCCTCCACGACCCTGCCAGCGTCGGGGAGCTCCGGGAAGCCGTAGAAGGCGTGGAAGGCGTCCGGGAACTCCACCAGGCGCACCGCCTTCCCCTTGCGCCGCAGCATGGCGGCGTACCGCCGCTGCCAGTCCTGCAGTGGGTCAAACCCACCGACCACCACCATCGCCGGCGGGAACGCCTCCGCCAGCTCGGGCTCCGGGCCCGCCTCCCCCGTCACGTGCGCCGCCGGGTGGTTCCGATCGGCCCCCTCCGGCAAGAACGCCCTCCACGACCAGTCCGAGCGGCGCATGTTCACGAGCGGTGCCACGCCCTCCAGCCTCAGCTCCGCCTCCGTGCGCTCCTCGCCGCCGAAGTACGGCTGCAGCAGGATGACGCCGGCGAGGCGGATGGGGCTGTTGGAGGAGGACGTCCAGCGGTGCGCGACGTGGTGGGCGATGTTGCCGCCGGCGCTGTCCCCGGCGAGGAAGCAGTGGGAGAGGTCGACCGGGGACGCGACGTCGGCGGGGAGGCCGGTGGCGCCGAGGTAGCGGAGCACGTCCGCGCAGTCGTCGTAGGCCGCGGGGTAGCGGTGCTCGGGCGCGAGGCGGTAGGTGAGGTGACGGAGACGACGACGGCGCCCAGCCCGCGGCAGAAACGGCGGCACATGCCGTCGACGGACGTGGACGCGGCCGAGAGCCCGAGAGGAACGCGAAGCCGCCGCCGTGGACGTAGACGAGGACGGGGAGCGGCGTCGACGTAGCCGCCGCCCCCGTTGCCGGGGAGAAGACACGTGCCCAGAGGTCGCGGGGCGCGTCGACGGTGACGTCGGCGGAGCGGACGCGGAGCGCGGACTGGCCGGCGACTGCCTGTCGGCCAGGGAGAGGAGGAAGCGGTTGACAGTGCCGTCGCGGCGCTCCGCGAGGTCGAGGCCGGCGGTGGACGCGAAAAGCCGAAGCCGCAACGTCCAAGGCAGCACCGGCGGCGCGGAGCGCGGGCTCTCGTCCGTGGCCGTGTTTTGGCTCCTCGTTCCGGCCTCCATTTCGCTCCTCCCTCCTCGGTGATTGATAGTGTGGAGTGTGGACTGTATTAGTCCAGGGATACAGCAGCTTATGAGCAAGGATTTAGATTGTTTTAGTATGATGAGTGGCCAAAGAGAATTAGTAATTTACAAGAGCATGTTGCACACAATAATGTGGTGCTCCTGTAAATTATTTCAAGTTGCTTTGAGATCAAGTGCTACCAAACTAAAATAAGAACAATTCCCGCAAACAAATAAGTAAAAGTAAGAACGCTTACGTACTTTCTGCAACATTGCTATTTTAATACCACATGGGAGGGGAATGTTTGGTTCCTGGGTACATATGTATCCTATATGGAAAAAAATTAGCAATTCAACAAAAAGTCAAAATATTTTGAAAATGTTTTTAAGATAAACTTGACCTTTCATTGTACTAGTGAGAAAAGTTTCACAAAAGGAAAATTCTTCTTTGACTTCTTTTCAAAAAAGACAAACCTTTTATCAAAATAGCATTAATAGTGACCTATAATAGCAAATAAATTTTATCTTTTTCACTGTGAAGTCAACATTGTTTTTTTATTTATGTACTAATGCGCAAGTAAGTCAAGTTTAATCTAAAAATACTTTTAAACTATTTTGACTTTTTGTTTAATTATTTAAAAAAAACATATAGAGTGTATATACATGCGGGACCCAAAGGGTATTTCCCCTCTACCTAAACAATAAGCACGTACACAACCACTCGAAGGTCACACACACCCCCGTCTAGTGGATGATGTAACTCTGGTTTGATCCAATAAAAGTTTCCCGAAGTTTCAAAAAAAAAGGTCACGCACACCCCTGTCTAGCAGTGCTAGAGCATCTACACCCGGAGCCCCTTATCCGCACCAAACGTTCGGGCGGCTGTCCGGTCACTGCACGGACAGAAAAGTACCATCCAACTTGACCTGTAAAACTGTTGGAAATACGCCCTAGAGGCAATAATAAATTGATTATTATTATATTTCCTTGTTCATGATAATCGTTTATTATCCATGCTAGAATTGTATTGATAGGAAACTCAGATACATGTGTGGATACATAGACAACACCATGCCCCTAGTAAGCCTCTAGTTGACTAGCTCGTTGATCAATAGATGGTTACGGTTTCCTGACCATGGACATTGGATGTCGTTGATAACGGGATCACATCATTAGGAGAATGATGTGATGGACAAGACCCAATCCTAAGCATAGCACTAGATCGTGTAGTTCGTATGCTAAAGCTTTTCTAATGTCAAGTATCATTTCCTTAGACCATGAGATTGTGCAACTCTCGGATACCGTAGGAGTGCTTTGGGTGTGCCAAACGTCACAACGTAACTGGGTGGCTATAAAGGTACACTACGGGTATCTCCGAAGGTGTCTGTTGGGTTGGCACGAATCGAGACTGGGATTTGTCACTCCGTGTGACGGAGAGGTATCTCTGGGCCCACTCGGTAGGACATCATCATAATGTGCACAATGTGATCAAGGAGTTGATCACGGGATGATGTGTTACGGAACGAGTAAAGAGACTTGCCGGTAACGAGATTGAACAAGGTATCGGGATACCGACGATCGAATCTCGGGCAAGTATCGTATCGATAGACAAAGGGAATTGTATACGGGATTGATTAAGTCCTTGACATCGTGGTTCATCCGATGAGATCATCGTGGAACATGTGGGAGCCAACATGGGTATCCAGATCCCGTTGTTGGTTATTGACCGGAGAACGTCTCGGTCATGTCTGCATGGTTCCCGAACCCGTAGGGTCTACACACTTAAGGTTCGATGACGCTAGGGTTATAAAGGAAGTTTGTATGTGGTTACCGAATGTTGTTCGGAGTCCCGGATGAGATCCCGGACGTCACGAGGAGTTCCGGAATGGTCCGGAGGTAAAGATTTATATATGGGAAGTCCTGTTTTGGTCACCGAACAAGTTTCGGGGTCACTGGTATTGTACCGGGACCACCGGAAGGGTCCCGGGGGTCCACCGGGTGGGGCCACCTGCCTCGGGGGGCCACATGGGCTGTAGGGGGTGCGCCTTGGCCTATATGGGCCAAGGGCACCAGCCCCAAGAGGCCCATGCGCCAAAGGGATAAGGAAAGGAAGAGTCCTAAAAGGGGAAGGCACCTCCGAGGTGCCTTAGGTAGGAGGGACTCCTCCCTAGCCGCACCCTTCCTTGGAGGAAGGGCCAAGGCTGCGCCTCCCCCCTCTCCCTTGCTCCTATATATAGTGGGGGAGATGGAGGACTTCTTACTTTTGCCTTTGGTGCAGCCCTCCCCCTCTCCCAAGTCCTTCTCCTCTCCCGTGGTGCTTGGCGAAGCCCTGCAGGTCTGCCACGCTCCTCCACCACCACCACGCCGTTGTGCTGCTGCTGGATGGAGTCTTCCTCAACCTCTCCCTCTCTCCTTGCTGGATCAAGGCATGGGAGACGTCACCGGGCTGTACGTGTGTTGAACGCGGAGGTGCCGTCCGTTCGGCAGTAGGATCATCGGTGATTTAAATCACGACGAGTACGACTCCATCAACCCCGTTCACTTGAACGCTTCCGCTTAGCGATCTAAAAGGGTATGTAGATGCACTCTCCTTCCCCTTGTTGCTGGTCTCTCCATAGATAGATCTTGGTGACACGTAGGAAAATTTTGAATTTATGCTACGTTCCCCAACAGTGGCATCATGAGCTAGGTCTATTGCGTAGATTCTATGCACGAGTAGAATACAAAGTAGTTGTGGGCGTTGATTTTGTTCAATATGCTTACCGTTACTAGTCCAATCTTGATTCGGCGGCATCGTGGGATGAAGCGGCCTGGACCGACCTTACACGTACTCTTACGTGAGACTGGTTCCACCGACTAACATGCACTAGTTGCATAAGGTGGCTAGCGGATGCCTGTCTCTCCCACTTTAGTCGGATCGGATTCGATGAACAGGGTCCTTATGAAGGGTAAATAGCAATTGGCATATCACGTTGTGGTCTTTGCGTAGGTAAGAAACGTTCTTGCTAGAAACCCATAGTAGCCACGTAAAACATGCAAACAACAATTAGAGGACGTCTAACTTGTTTTTGCAGGGTATGCTATGTGATGTGATATGGCCAAAGAATATGATGAATGATATATGTGATGTATGAGATTGATCATGTTCTTGTAATAGGAATCACGACTTGCATGTCGATGAGTATGACAACCGGCAGGAGCCATAGGAGTTGTCTTTATTAATTGTATGACCTGCGTGTCATTGAACAACGCCATGTAATTACTTTACTTTATTGCTAACCGGTAGCCATAGTAGCAGAAGTAATAGTTGGCGAGCAACTTCATGGAGACACGATGATGGAGATCATGATGATGGAGATCATGGTGTCATGCCGGTGACAAGATGATCATGGAGCCCCAAGATGAAGATCAAAGGAGCTATATGATATTGGCCATATCATGTCACTATTATTTGATTGCATGTGATGTTTATCATGTTTATACATCTTATTTGCTTAAAACGACGGTAGTAAATAAGATGATCCCTCATTAAAATTTCAAGAAAGTGTTCCCCCTAACTGTGCACCGTTGCTGAAAGTTCATAGTTTCGAAGCACCACGTGATGATCGGGTGTGATAGATTCTTACGTTCACATACAACGGGTGTAAGACAGATTTACACACGCGAAACACTTAGGTTGACTTGACGAGCCTAGCATGTGTACAGACATGGCCTCGGAACACAGAAGACCGAAAGGTCGAGCATGAGTCGTATGGTAGATACGATCAGCATGAAGATGTTCACCGATGTTGACTAGTCTGTCTCACGTGATGATCGGACACGGCCTAGTTGACTCGGATCATGTAATCACTTAGATGACTAGAGGGATGTCTATCTGAGTGGGAGTTCATAAGATGAACTTGTTTATCCTGAACATAGTCAAAAGGGATTTTGCAAATTATGTCATAGCTCGCGCTTCAGTTCTATTGTTTAGATATGTTCCTAGAGAAAATTTAGTTGAAAGTTGATAGTAGCAATTATGCGGACTAGGTCCGTAAACTGAGGATTGTCCTCATTGCTTCATAGAAGGCTTGTCCTTTATGCACCGCTCAGTGTGCTGAACCTCGAACGTCGTCTGTGGATGCTGCGAACATCTGACATACACGTTTTGATAACTACGTGATAGTTCAGTTAAACGTTTTAGAGTTGAGGCACCGAAGAAGTTTTTGAAACGTCGCGAAACATATGAGATGTTTCGAGGGCTGAAATTGGGATTTCAGGCTCGTGCCCACGTCAAGAGGTATAAGACCTCCGATGATTTTCTTAGCCTACAAACTAAGGAGAAAAGCTCAATTGTTGTGCTTGTGCTCAGATTGTCTGAGTACAACAATCGCTTGAATTGAGTGGGAGTTGATCTTCCAGATGAAATAGTGATGGTTCTCCGAAGTCATTACCACCAAGCTGCTAGAGCTTCGTGATGAACTATAATGTATCGGGGACATATATGATGATCCTTGAGATATTCGCAATGCTTGACTCCGCGAAAGTAGAAATCAAAAGGGAGCATCAATCGTTGATGGTTAGTAAAACCACTAGTTTCAAGAAGGGCAAGGGCAAGAAGGGATACTTCATGAAACGGCAATTCAGCTGCTGCTCTAGTGAATAGACCCAAGGTTGAACCCAAACCCGAGACTAAGTGCTTCTATAATAAGGGGAACAGCCACTGGAGCAGAATTACCCTCGATACTTGGTAGATAAGAAGGCTGGCAAGGTCGATAGAAGTATATTGGATATACATTATGTTAATGTGTACTTTACTAGTACTCCTAGTAGCACCAGGGTATTAGATACCGGTTCGGTTGCTAAGTGTTAGTAACTCAAAACAAAAGCTACGGAATAAACGGAGACTAGCTAAAGGTGAGATGACGATATGTGTTGGAAGTATTTCCAAGGTTGATCAAATATCGTACGCTCCCTCTACCATCGAGATTGGTGTTAAACCTAAATAATTGTTATTTGGT